TGTCCAACCATCTCGGCTGATCGGCTCTGTAAATAAATATTATTCGATAATTAATTGTGCTTTACTGTGCAACACAGTAAGGCTATATTGAATATATAAACATTACTAATTTAATATACTACAAATTTCATAGTATAAACATTCCAAACAATATTGGTATTATTTTGGTTTTGTCATCTGGGGAACCTTAAGATTCTAACTATGGGATTAACTACTTTAAACAATAAGACACATTATCTCTACGGGGTTTCTGTCAAAACATTTTTCAGTGGCATAAGAAAATACAGGTCATATGTTAGGTTAGGTTAGGTTAGGTTAGGTCGGTATGATGTTATATTACAGTTATAAGGCTTAACATACACCGGTAAGTGGGGGTAGTAACTCAAAATTAGTGATTTCCGACATAAATAAAGCTCAAAATCGTTCAGAAAAACATAGTCTGCATGTCTAAGCAGGATGACCAAAACTTTATATTTACCCAATATAGCCTAACACGAATCAAAACATTCCAAATACTTATGTAGAAGTAAAATTTCACCCATTAATTAATATAAGTGATGATATAACCTAATGCATTCTCAAAACAAAGTCCAGACAGTGTCATTACTTAAATTGACTTGTATCTCCATCTAGTACTGATATACTTGTAAATGCACTGAAAAAAAGTACTAGGAAGGAATACATGACAACTGAGCTGGTGTGAACATAGAGTTTTTATGTCCATAAGCTGCTCTTGCGGCACATTTCTTCACTTATGAAATGTCCATGACATAGACCATAAAAACACCCGTAAAACTTACCTGAACGTGGCATTTGGGGTCTGAAGAGGCCATCCTTTGTACTACCTCCGACTGCAGCAGTGAGTTTGTTGGAGAACGTCGTCTGCGGAAACTGGTGACGTCATTGCAAATGGCGGCCCTGTTTCTAGAGAAATAAACTTATCTCGACTATTATAGCAGGACTCTTAAACTTTTATTACACATTATTCATACCGTATCACTCTACGAACGTGGCAAAGTATATTTTTGTGTTTACTCAGAACTGACAACTCGTCCATTGTTTTGGTTTTGGGTCAATTATAACTATACAGTAATCGGTTTTGGTGTATGGATTGTTGGTTTTTCTTTCCATGATTTTGGTATGTCCTGCTTTTAGCTAAGAAATATGGTCACTTTCAAACCAAAAATTTCTCCAAGGACGCCATTTACAATATTTACAAAGCGACACCACGCGAGAGAGAGCACCCATGAAGGACACTGCTGGTACCATCTTCCTTTTTTCTAATATTCTATTTGTATAAATTTGTTAATGCTGTCGATTAAATTCATGAGCTGTACTTTTACTAAAATGTTGAAAACATTAAAACAATATGAATAATCATCCTAACATACAGTATTATAAATGTAAACAAATAATTTATACAAAAGCATCTGTTGAACTAACAGAGTATGGTAGTATCATACGCCATAAGGAATAACTAATCAATTGTCTTGGAAGGCACAAACCATAACAGTGTTTACTCGTCTGTGTCCCTGACTGAGACGTTGCCTCCTCAGGTCCTGTTCGTCACACAAGGCGTCATGTTTTATATCCTAATAAAAGTATCTATGAGTTATTTTATTTTTGTCAAATTGCTTTACTGATTACCGTTGTTTACCTGCATTGTCTAGGCATAGGAACCTTACTGTATACTCTACGGCCTACGCACCGTTTTTTTTACGGATTACCACCAGGGGCGATAAAATATATAATAATGACAAAATAATAATAATATTAATAATAAATAAATACAAAACTAAAAACAAAAATCACTAGTGAGAAAACGATATATAGTAAGTATTGTTATGACCTCCTTTCACCGCTTACCCAGCTTCCACCACTGGTTACCAACGGCCAGGGTCGTATGTACAGAAGCAGTAGATATCTCTAAGTGTCATCGAATTACCACTGACTGTCCCGCCAGTAATTTCCGACGATTGGTATCAGTGTACAGACAAACAACAGGCAGGTAGATTTTCACCAGATCACAGAAACACACTTGTGCACTGTAGGCCTCTTTAATAGTCACTAATTCTTCACAACACTGTTCATAGGGTAAGCTGGACTTACTTCGAATATGTAGTCAGCACACTACCAGTGTACAATTCCTTAGTCTTTTCACTTTTAAATTGCTTACAACAATTCCCCAATACTTGCACAACAATTATCTTCAGTTGTCCTACTACCTACTAGGCTTGATCTTGATACTCAGCAGAAACAATCGACTGACTGAGTCAGCTTGGGCTTGTTTGGAGATTACTGGGCACTTCGCCTTTCGGCTATTTCGGTCGAAGCTGTTTTTTTTTTCCTAAGTCGTTTTCTTTGAAGCTCTTCCTTTTGTTCTTTTGCTTTTCAATTTCCATTTTCTTCTTGGTCTTGTTCTGGTATATACTCGAAAGGTCTAAAAACGCTGATAATTTAATGTTACTGTTTCTGGCTTTTGGCTTGTTTGTCTTTTCTTCTCTCTGTTTAATTCTGGCTTCTCTTCTGTGGTCTTGTTGGGGTCTTGATTCTTCTTTTTCTTCGGTCTTCTACAAGAAGAGCCTCCTTGTAGCCCATTTTTTCTCGTTTCGCAGCTTAGCCACCCTACACTCCTCCACCTGGGACACTCCCGGTCGGGAGGAGTGAGGGCCCTATAGCTGCGCATTTCTTGGCGGCCGCCGAGCAGTTGGTGTGCTGGTGCCTGGGTGTCCCAATTGCAACAGACCTCCCGAGCTCGACACTTCCTGCCAGATGGCCATACCTCTGGCATTTATACTTGTGGGTTTTCTCTCATACGGTCTTCCTGGGATGTTTCCCATCCCAGCAAAACAGTCTTGGTAGATTCTTTGGGTAACCAACCAGTGCAGTTATGCTGGTGAGCTTTCGTACTATTGAGAACAGGTCTCGATCAGCTGGGCCAACTCTTCTTTTCAAGGAGTTCTATCTCGGTGTGGGAGATGACTCCCAACACAGTTATCCTTTGTGTGAGCTTCCACTTGTATCTTGATCCTTTAATTTCTGTAATGTTTGCTATTGCTGGGCCTGTCCCCAATCGAAAGGTGACCATAAGGTCTGCGGACGACCCTTGTCACCTCCTGATTCCTAAGGAGTCAAACAACTTCCTTAGGACAAGGAGGTTTAGTTGCTTGGGTTAGGGCATGTGAGTGGATACAGTCTTACGACCTTCGCCTGGTCACAGGTCACCCTCATCGTCAGGTTCACGTCGTACCTCGGGAGCAGAAGACCTTGCCTCGCCGAGTGCGGTCAGCCGCACCCGCTTATACTGTATACCTCATCAGCAGACGATCCGAACACCCTAGCTGCTAGCACAACCCAGAGACGCCTAGGAGTTCTAGAACGTTCTATTCTGATCAAGGCTTACAATAAGAAGTAAATTATAAAAAAATGATACCATACATTCTAGAATATTCTTACATAAGTATTACATCAATATATACACGAAAATCTCTAAACTTGCCAAAATAACTGTTGCCTGGGACTCAAAATAACCAAAACGCCTAGTTTACAAACATTATACTACCAGGTTATGCCTCGACATGACAATATGTTGTGTTGTCAAAGTAAGAGAAACAATTGAGACCCTGCAATTGTGTGTAAATGAGGCAGAAAGTCAGATCAGCAACCTGGAACTAGGTCATATTTTTTTGTGATGCCATATGGCAGCAGGAGTATATCCATGCTGAACTGATACCTGCATAGTTTGTATATATATATATATATATATATATATATATATATATATATATATATATATATATATATATATATATATATTGTAAATCTGTACCATAATTTCACTGAATAAATAATAATAATATTATTATTATTGTATTATTATTATTATTATTATTATTATTATTATTATTATTACAACAACATATGTATAGCTTTATACCGGCCATAGTGATGATGGTGCCAATTTTGGTCTCCAACAGAGCTGCATTACCAACGAGGAGGGTGTGGAGGCAGACGAGGATCGCCAGGAAGACCGCCCTGTTGAAGACTACACCTGAACCTGGTACGTATCTATACGTCTGTACATATACACACCCCACCTTTGTCCTGAGCGACTCGTCTTAAGCACCGTCTACATACATACAGGGTTTCCTCCTGTATCTTTATCGTTATATAGTTCAAGTACTTATTGATGATAACACCTGCTCACCTATATATGTCTTCACTCTCCCTCTCTCTTTTATATATTATTTATGTTAAGATTTCAGCCCATATACTCATGACTTACATAGTGAGCGTCGTTCAGGTACACTGACGGCGGAGGTGCAGGCCGACACCCAGGAGGCGACACCGGAACCAGCAGAGAGAAGAAGCGGCAAGTCGCCTTCAGGTAAGTGTGGTGAGGTGAGGGTGGCGAGGTGAGCGAGCGGCGAGGCGCTCGTATCACTAAGACTCCGCCTTCCTTCCCCAGATGAACACAAACAAAACTTCTGACCAACTAGTGTGAGAGAGCTTTGACACTATTCTACTAACTGCTAGGCGCCATATATCTATCACTCATATCCCCCAAGTGTTTGTCCTTACTAAACACGGATTTCCAATACATGTAGAACATCCACAAAATGTATTTTGGAAGTCAGTAATATTCGTTTAAATCTGAAGTGCAGAGTCATTAACTTATGGGCGATGTTCTACTGCAACTGAGTGTCTCTCTTGCAAGCATGGACCTGATACGTGAGACCGAGCGGAACGGCGCCTCAGGTTCAAGAGCAGGTGAGTGACTGGTTGCAGTATGGGACCCCTGCCGACGAGGCACCGGGGCCGTCTACTGCCTCCGTCAAGTCATTACGCTTCCTTATCACATGATATACTGGAAATATGGATTGTTGTTGCATGTGATGTCTACTCATGGGGACCAGTTTAACAGTTTGGCTTAATAGGGTGGGCAAGGGTGGAGTTGGATCCCTCACTGACCTTGTCGTGTTCCTCCGCCGGCTGGACTGAGCAGACAGTTCCACACCGCCGTGACCGCCGTCATGGCTGCCAGGTACTAATGCGTCACCTTTACTTCATGTAACAGCACGCCTATATTTTCTTCACGCCCACACCCTGCACCAGCCACGCGGTGCCCGCGACAACCAGCGGCACCACGCGCCTTAAGCACTTAGTGCCCCAGGCAGCCAGGAGCTGCCTGGTGTCCTGGGCAATTAGGAACACCTAGTGTCCTGGGCAGCCACGAACACCTATTGTCCAGGAAGCCAGGGGCACCTGGCGTCCAGGTCAGCCTGGGGCACCTGGTGTCAGGGCGCTGGGGCAGCCAAGGGCGCTTAGTGTCCTAGGAAGCCCGGGCACCTGTGTCCTGGGTAGCCAGGGGTCACCCTAGCGCGGGCAGCCAGGAGCGCTTAGTGTCCTAGGAAGCCCAGGGCACCTGTGTCATGGGAAGCCAGGGCACCTAGCGCTGGGGCAGCCAGGGGCACCTGGCGCCTCGTCACCACACTCGTTCTCTTGCCTTTTCCGTCACATTTACTGTACAGCCTCCCCTGTTCGCAACACTTTCCACAAGTAACTAGACAAGTTATATCAGCACTGTATCATGTAATTATTCATCTGTTCTTAAGTACTGTATGTCTAATATGATCCTATAAAGGCCAACTCAAGGTCGCTGTAATTATATATATATATATATATATATATATATATATATATATATATATATATATATATATATATATATATATATACATATAAACACCCTTGATTGTAACATTAACCAGCTAACCAAGATCTCCGGCTCCCTATTTAACGAATGACAGCTTTTAATGTTACAAATTAATGTTGTTGTCGGCATTTTATCAATTTTTATTGTAGTGAATGTTCCATTTTCGGTATGATTTTCACTCTTTTGACAGACAGTTAAAGTTGCCATAAGTTAAAGGGAGGGAGGAGCAGTTAAGGTTGAGAGTGCGGGTGTTGTGGTCAGCAGGGGTTGGCGGGTCACGCTGCTCTCGGGCACCTGGCTGGACGCGCCCTGCTACTGCTCTCCTGCAGTTATCAACATTTTATGGGACAAGAAACCTTTTCTATTTTGTATGATCCTATTTTACCATTGTTGTTTGGCAGCGTTCAAGCTGCACTGCATTTTAATGTTTATTCCGTATGGATAGATGTACGTACATACATACATACATACATACATACACATACACACACATATATATATATATATATATATATATATATATATATATATATATATATATATATATATATATATATATATATATATATATATATATATGTATATATCTTGATAAAATCACAGGAAAATGGAAGCAACGAATTGCCTAGGCTTTCTCGTCTTTATCAAGACATCTTCAGGGGCAACCACGCTTTAGTTGCTCATCCGAAGATGTTGAATAACACAGCTCCGTTGTCTTCCTGCTGTATCTTATCCACGTTTTCATTGTGGTTACATGAAATATATATATATATATATATATATATATATATATATATATATATATATATATATATATATATATATATGTATATACACATATATATATATATATATATATATATATATATATATATATATATATATATATATATATATATATATATATATATATATATATATATATATATATGTATATGTGTGTATATATGTGTATATATATATATATATATATATATATATATATATATATATATATATATATATATATATATATATATATATATATATATATATATATATATATGTATATGTATATACAAGCTTTACATGTTTCTCAGTGTACATATGGTGGCTTGACTCTTGTAGACATGGTGAGCAACTTGTGTTCCCTTAATCATGAGGCTGGACCAGCGGCTCAGTCCTCCTCACACTCTTTATCAACTTGGCATTATATTTATTTACTTCTGGAATCTGTGTTTACTTCTATATTTTATTAATGTTCTGGTATTGCTACAGTGGTGGTGGCCGAAGATGTTCAGTGTTGTTGGTGATGCGTATTCTTAATTCATTTTCCAATTGGACTTATCTCTATAAGTACTACTGGATAATGAACAGTTTCTTACTAACTTGCTAATAGAATCCAGAATCAAATAATGGTGTGTATAGTGAAATATAGTTATTATCAGTTGCCTGTTGAGGGACGAGGCGGTGAACCTGGGGATGACTCATGGTTCTCCCTCGCAGGTTCTTCAGTAAAAAGCGTGAGGCGAGTGCTGACCGCTCCAGAAGTAAAGGCCGCACCCCAGAGCCCTCTTCCAACAGCTTGGAAGTGCCTCGCCCCGGCAGGAAGAACCGTTCTCCCTCCGTCAGGCTCTCTCAGGGCATAGAGACCAAGTTGGTGCCTCCAGCTATTCCTGAGAGACAGGTACAGTTGGCTCATCTACACTGACCCCAACTCACGATAAACTTTCACCGAAAATAGAGGCTTTTATAATCTATGTACAGTAATAATTTGTTTCTGCGTCATTGGCCCACATTTAGAATGAATATAACATGAGTTGGGGTGCTGTAGATAGTGGCGGGAATAACTGATCTATATCGGCAGGGTGCCACGGAGGAGCTGCGGGAGGAGGAGCTATTTGATCCTGAGTGCCTCAAGCTGATGAACGAATACTTCTATGGTGTGAGGATCTTTCCCGGTCAGGACCCCGCCCACGTCTACATAGGTTGGGTCACCACGCAGTACCATATCCACGACACCGCCTTCGACCAGAGCAAAGTGCGCTCCGTCATCGTGCAAGAGTACACCGAGGAGGGACACATCCAGAATGCGTGAGTACAAGTTGTTATATAATAAACGATGTTACATGTTTTATTGTGTCAGTCGTACTAGTTAGTAAACCTTGATCACCGACGTGGGGTGCTCTAGTTGTTTACTTATTGGAAATATCATGTGATTGTATTGTATAGGCCAGTGGTGTTGCTGCCTCAGGTGCTGATCTAATGGACCTCAAGTAATTCTTTCCTCTGAGTTAAGTATCGTCCTCACAGGTAGTTCCTTGTCCATCCCTTTACTAATATCCCTTTTTGTACTATCCAACTCAACTGATGTACAGTTTGTAGAATGAAACTGTATAATTGTTGTGTACCTTTACAGCGTGGAGCGTCACAGCTGTTACATGTTCCGCGCTGACGAGCTGCATGCGGAGGTGACGTCAGACACAGGCAGTAAGGGTGCCTCTCAGGGCATGTTCATCGGTTGCTTCATCGACACTTCGACGGGCTTCATCACGCTGCAGTGTGACGGCAAGGACACGCGACACAAGTACCGCATGGAGCCCGGCACCAAGCTCTTCCCTGGGGTGTTCCTGGAGCCTACCAGCAAGGAGGTGCTGCAGATCGAGTTGGGTCGTACCCCCAACACGCTGCCCCTGAGTGCGGCCGTCCTCCAGAACAGTGATAAACATGTCGTGCCCCAGATGCCCCCCCGCCTCAAAGTCCAGATACTTAAGGTATGCCCACACGCTGGGAGTATGCTAAACGTGCTCTGAGTATACCCATTTGTTAAATTTATGACATGTATGCTCTGGCCTGCCCCCTTAAACCCCGAGTATGCTGTATATACTCAAGATATATTTTAAATAGTAGGATTGCCTCACATGTTCTGTGTGTTGTTGTGTTACAGCCTTACCAGTGGTCACGGGTACCCAACACGTCACTCAGAATTCACGCCCTCAAACTCTCTGACATCCGCGGCTGGTCCATGCTGGCTGAGGACTCCGTGCCGATGCTCGCCCTCCACATCCCTGAGGAGGATCGATGCATCGACATCCTCGAATTGATCGAATACGACAAGTTACTGAGCTTCCACTCTCACACACTTGCTCTGTACTGCGCCGTGTGCTATCAGAGCAATTACCGCGCCGCCCACACCCTCTGTTCTCACGTCGACCAGAAACAATTGCTGTATGCCATGCAGAGCGAGTACATGTCTGGCCCTCTCCGAATGGGCTTCTACAACCTCCTGATAGCGTTGCATCTTGAGAGCTTTGCTAACACAATGTAAGTCTTCACAGTTTTCTACTGGTGTTCTAGTAATCGACACTTGTTGAATATTACTCTACTGTTGTAGAAGCAGTTTCTCGTTTGTTATTGAATATGTATCGTGTACAGGGAGGTCACCCACAACGAGTTCATCGTGCCGCTGAGCAGCGAGCTGAAGGAAATCTACTCTGAGGAAGGAATGGGCAACTCCATGTCCGCCATCCACACCGAGTCCGTCCGTCCCGTCATGTCTATGTCTGATATCACGTATGTGTTAATAGTGGTGCCATCTTATCATACACTGCTGTTGTAGGTCACTGGAGCCATGCAAAACTTAAATTTAGCCAGATATGTTGTTGTTTTACACACTCCACTCAGCTGGTTTATCTCTACATTTTTCTCCAACAGAAGACACTAAGGTTCTTGTTTAAACATAAAGTTTGGGTTAAGTTAGTCGTATACTACAACCCGGTTTTAATTTATTTAGTATAAGAAGAGAGACTCAGTGGCTATTATAATCTTAGCTAAACTTAATGAGCGTTCAGGTAAAACAGCGACTTGCTACTCTCCAGCCTTCAACTTTTCTATAAGTTTTGATCAACTTACAACACTTGATTGACCTTTGCGTGCAGTTGATACTTAAAAAAACGGCACAATTAGAGGTGTGGAGGTAGCAGGTCGCCACTCTCATGACACAGGTGTTGTTTCTCACCTGGCAGGTTTATGTAAAACTGTTATTGTTTTTTATAATGTTGAATTAATGTTTAAGATTGACTAACATTTAACTAACGATAAATTTCCACGTAGTTTTGTGATTCTAATGTATGTTAGTTTTTTTTAACCTAGTTAGTTGTTTATTTATAATTATCATTTATGTTCTCTTGTTTTATATGTTGATTTGTTCTGTATGTCGTAAAGTAAAGCGCCAACTCTGACCATTTTTACCACATCGGGCAAAATTCAACTTATTTACGTCATGTTTCTGTTCTCTGTTACGTGTATTTATATATTTTTTTACTTTTTTCTTACATTGTTTTGGCCTCGTGTGCCCTGCTTGGCCATACCACCCTCCACTCCACCCCAACGCTTGGTCTCCTGCAACTGCTCCACCACCGCCACCACTTTGATTCTAAACGTCGCCGGAACAACAATATTTTTCTCTCCATATTTTCTCACTCATCGTTTCTCTCTGGAATCCATTACCTGCATGCCATACCAACCACTTTCAACTTGATCCTACCCTCGACCACCCACCCACCCACCCACTCACGTACCCGTCAACCCACCCGCCTGCCCTACCCGTCTACCCTCCCTGCTTATTCCTGCCTACTTTAGTCATCTGGTAAACCCCGAGACTATCTCCATCCATTCCACTCACGTGTCCAGCACCAACATAGAGACCATCAAGGGGCTCTCCTCACCTTACTTCCCACTCGACGTAGCCAGAGAGTTCGTCATGAATGCCCTCGCAGAAGCCGTCAAGACCAATCAGATCCACAACAGAGATTCCATCGGCGGCAGCAACGAAAATCTTTTTGTGTAAGTGATTAAGACTGTTGTTACATAGATTTGTCTTTACGTCCCCTCGAGACTTGGCTGACTGGCCAATCAGAAGGCATTAAGACTTTCTCTCACTGGCCAATCAGAGGACATTGAGATTTGGTTCAGTGGCAAATCAAATGTTACTGAGATATATAACTTGATTTATGAGAACATTTTGTATAAAAATTCATAAAAGAGAGATTGTGTGTGTGTGAGACGGTCAGTCAGTCAGTCAGCGCCATAGCAACAAAACCATGAAACCTAGAGACTTGAAATATTGCTTTCTTATACTGGGGGTATAGATGATTGTGTAGTTGATGGAGTGTAGTCACGCAATAGGCTATGGGCTGCCTCTCATAAACAAGCCCTGCAGCGTCAGGTCCCCTAGCTAGTATAGACAGCTCGTTTAGACAACAACACGAAATAATAATAGTACACCAGATTGTGTGATAACTTGTACTGTATGTGTGTATGTTACAGGCCGCTGCTGAAACTGGTAGACAAGCTGCTGTTGGTGGGCATCCTGCAGGACGACGATATCAAACGACTCCTCCTTATGATCGACCCTCAGACGTGGGACCCAGACTTTGAGCCAGGTAGGCGTTGTGGCGGGCCTGTGGGGGTGATCAAACGCCACACTGCCTCATCTCGTTTATAAAATGACATAAAGCGTGGATTTTGTTTTGTTTAACATGAATCATGTTACAAGAACTGTAACTTTTTAAGATTAGTATTTTTTGCTGCTATATATGATAGTGTTTATAGACCTGAATTCCAGTTATCTGTAGTATTCTGTACCAACGAGGATTTTGGTGACTCGCAGTCCTCTCATATGCTATAAACCATAAAATTTATATCTTACCAGCATAATAAAGATGAACAAATTAAAGGTATTAATTTAACTGCTGTATGTTTCAGTGGATGAAGGTAATATATTACAGCTAATGGTTATATACTTCAGAGGGTAAAGACGAAAACCGTATAGGTATTTTGTCGATGGAGGTCGCTGAGGGCGTGAAGCTACAGCTGTGTTACGTGCTGCACCACCTCCTCGATGTGCAGAAGCGTCATCGTGTTGAGTCTCTCATTGCCTTCGCTCAAGACTACGTGGGCGAGGCAAGTGTTTGGTGGCACGCTCACACCTGATGCCTAACCTGCATCAGTCGCCTGAATCCCCGTTTTAGGTGGTTGTTCTCTTCTCTCACTTTAGATGTTTTATACTTCCTTCCATCTTTATTTCTTCGTTCCATTTTTTCTGTGAAGGAAGAAGAGACAGAAATACTTTCTGTATCCATATGTACTGTACAGTTGTAGACGAAAAGAATTCGGCAGGTTGGCAGACAGGAAGGGAGGGGGTGTAATGGGAGGGATGGGGTGTAGGCGGAGACTTGGTACCGTAGCATCAGGGTGGTGTTGATAAGTCTCCTCAAACATTCAACTTTTACGTATTGAGTTATTTATCGCACAGTGTTGGTGTAAGATAAGCATGCGTCATAATTAGATATAAAAAATCAATTTGTGCTGTCAAACGAAAATCTCACCAGCACTCCCTCCCTGCTTGCCGAAGTCTTTTTGTCCACAACTCTATATTACTCGTATTCCAGTGAGAAACATAATTTAAACTAACTTCTACACCAGTTAATTAAATTGTAATGACATAAATCCAAGAAGGCGAAGGAACCAACCCAATCACATACAAGGTGCAGTCTTAGTCTCTTTCTGTCACACTAATCTGACCGCCTTACTGTTTGACTCACAAAGTGTAACGCAACTGTTAATTTAACCTTCAGATCCAACAAGATCAGCTAAGGCGGTACATTGAGATCAAGCAGTCAGACTTGCCGTCCTCTGTGGCTGCCAGGAAGACCCGCGAGTTCCGTTGTCCTCCCCGAGAGCAGATGAATGCCATCTTGGGATTCAAGAACCTTACCGACGAGGAACTTGAGGAGACACCCTGCGGAGAGGACCTCAGGAAGGAACTACAAAACTTCCACGAACAGCTCAGGGCCAAAGCCAAGATACCAGGATCTGAAGAAGTGGGAGAGTCTGAGGTGAGTGTCACGTCTCTTTATCACCTACCTCACCTACTTCACCTACCTCACCTACTTCACCTAACTCACCTACCTCCCCTACATTACCTTCCTCACCATTCTCACCTACTTCACCTACTTCACCTACCTCACCTACCTCACCTACATCACCTTCCTCACCTTCCTAACCTACCTCACCTACCTTACCTACTTCACCTATCTCACCTACTTCACATATCTCACCTACTTCACCTACTTCACCTACCTTACCCACTTCACCTACTTCACCTACTTCACCTGCATCACCTACCTCACCTACTTCACCTACCTTATCTATCTTACCTACTTCACCTACTTCACCTACTTCACCTGCATCACCTACCTCACCTACTTCACCTACCTCACCTACTTCACCTACTTCACCTACCTCACCTACTTCACCTACCTTATCTATCTTACCCTATAAACTACCTGCTTCCACCTCTTCACCCCTGCATCACCTACCTCACCTGCTTCACCTGCCTCACCTGCTTCACCTGCTTCACCTGCCTCACCTCGCTTCCTGCCTTGTCTATCACCTACCTCACCTACTTCACCTGCATCACCTACCTCACCTACTTCACCTGCATCACCTACCTCACCTACCTCACCTACTTCACCTACTTCACCTACCTCACCTACTTCACCTACCTTATCTATCTTACCTACTTCACCTACTTCACCCGCATCACCTACCTCACCTACTTCACCTACCTCACCTACTTCACCTACCTCGCTGCCTAAACCCCACCTACCTCCTGCTTCACTACCTCACCTGCTTCACCTACCTCACCTATAATACCTCACCTCCTACTTCACCTACCTTATCTGCCTTATAACTTCTTATGTCAGCTATCACCTATTCTTACCTCTTCACCTACCCTCCACCTACCTCCACCTGCTTCACCTCTTCTTCTTATAAACCACCCTCTTCTCCTTAATCACCCTGCCTCACCTACTTCACCTGCCTCACCTGCTTCACCTACCTCACCTACCTCACCCTCTTCACCTACTTCACCTACTTCACCTACTTCCTGTCACCTCACCTCCTCGCCCACCTACCTCCCCCTGTTCACCTACCTCACCTACTTCACCTACCTTATCTATCTTACCTACTTCACCTACTTCACCTGCATCACCTACCTCACCTACTTCACCTACCTCACCTACTTTAACTACTTCACCTAATTCACCTACCTTACCTATCTTACCTACTTCACCTGCATCACCTACCTCGCCTACTTCACCTACCTCACCTACTTCACCTACCTCACCTACTTCAACTACTTCACCTACTTCACTTACCTTACCTACTTTGCCTATCTTACCTACTTCACCTACTTCACCTACCTCACCTACCTCACCTGCTTCACCTGTACCCACCACCTCACCTATCCACCTACCTTATCTATCTTACCTACTTCACCTAGCTTCACCTGCATCACCTACCTCACCTCGCTTCACCTACCTCCCACCTACTTCACCTACCTCACCTACTTCCTTCTTCACCTCTTCCTTGCCTTACCTGCTTTTGCCTGTCTTACCTACTTCACCTACTTCACCTACCTCACCTACCTCACCTACTTCACCTACTTCACCTACCTCACCTACTTCAACTACTTCACCTACTTCACTTACCTTACCTACTTTGCCTATCTTACCTACTTCACCTACTTCACCTGCATCACCTACCTCACCTACTTCACCTACTTCACCTACTTCACCTGCATCACCTACCTCACCTACTTCACCTACCTCACCTACTTTAACTACTTCACCTACTTCACCTACTTCACCTATCTTACCTACTTCACCTACTTCACCTACCTTACCTACATTACCTACCCACCTCTTCTACCTCTTCACCTCCCCTCACCTGCTTCACCTACCTCACCCTCATCACCTACCTCCACCTGCTTCACCTCGCTTCACCTCACTTCACCTACCTTACCTATCTTACCTCTTCACCTACTTCACCTACCTTACCCCTGCATTACCTACCGCACCTGCTTCACCTGCACTTCACCTCCCTCACCTCACCTACCTCACCTACCTCACCTACTTCACCTACCTCACCTACTTCACCTACTTCACCTACCGCACCTACTTCACCTACTTCACCTCCCTCACCTACTTCACCTCCCTCACCTACTTCACCTACCTCACCTACTTCACCTACCTCACCTACATCACCTACCTCACCTACTTCAACTACTTCACCCAATTCATCTACCTTACCTACCTTAGCTATCTTACCTCCTTCACCTACTTCACCTACCTTACCTATCTTACCTACTTCACCTACCTCAC